CATAATTTTTTTGCTGGTGGAGAGTCTTACCTCGATGTTGAGGGCCTTGGTCTGGATTAGGCTTTAGCTTAAGGGAATATCGTGACTGGTTTGATTTCCTTTTTTGAGACCGGGTCTCCCTCTGTCACCCAGGCTGGAGTGCAGAGGCACAATCTTGGCTCACTGCAGCTTCGACCTCCCAGGCTGAAGCAATCCTTCCACCTCAGCCTTCCAAGTAGCCGGGACCACAGACTCGTGCCACCATGCCCAGCTAATTTTTTTGTATTTTTGGTAGAGACAGGGTTTTGCCTTGTTTTCCAGGCTGGTCTCAAACTCCTTAGCTCAGGCCATAAGCCCACCTTGGCCTCCCAAAATGCTGGGATTACACGCATGAGCCACTGCGCCCGGCCTGATTTTCTATCCAGACCACTAAAACTTTCTCCATATCAGCAAAAAGTCTGCTTCACTTTCTTATCATTAATGTGTAAACTGGAACTACACTTTTAATTTTCCCAGAGCTTCTCCTCTGAATTCACAACTTGGCTAACTATCTGGCACGAGAATCCTAGCTTTCATCCTGTCTCGGCTGACAGCACACCTTCCTCACTAAGAGTAATCACCTCTAGCATTTGATTTTAGGTGACAGATGTGTGACTCTTCTGTTCACTGGAACACTTAGAGGCCATCGTAGGGTTATTAATTGTCCTTATTTCAATATTTGAAATTCTGTTTCAGAGAACAGTGAGGTCCGAGGAAAGGGAGAGAGATAGGGAAACAGCCAGTCAGTGGAACAGTCACTGTTTATTCATTAAGATTGCACAGTTAAATGAGCATGGTTCCTAGTGTCCCAAAACAATAACAGTAATAACTTCAAAGATTACCGGTCACAGATGACTGTAACAGACATAACAAGCATGAAAACGTTTAAAATATTGCAAGAATTACCCAAATGTACCACAGAGACATGAAGTGAGCACATGCTGTGGGAAAAATGGCGCAGATAGACTTACTCCATGCAGGATTGCCAGAAACTTTTAATTGGCAAAAAATGCAGTCTCTGAGGAGTGCAATAAAGGAACATGCAGTAAAACACGGGATACCGGTATAAGGAGCCTCCTCACAATGACAGTAATTACTTCATTCCAATAGCTGTTGACAGTGCACCACTATGCACAAGCACCGAACTAAGCATTAGAAAGGACTGAAGAAATGGTGAAGCACGAACACTTTTCTGACCCCAAAAAACACACAAACCCTAAAACAGACAACATGTTATGTGACTGTTTGTAAATGCCTGGTGCAAATAGATACTAGAGAAATTCCGCAGCAGTGGGTCTATCATGGAAGTGGGGAAAAGTACAGTGAATAACAGGGAGGGCTAAGCCTTCAAGAAAAAAGAAGAATGAAAGAAACAGAGAGCTGGAGCAGAGAATGTTCTAGGCCATGGGGTTGCATAGGCAAGACAAGGTTGCAAAAGCTGATAATCCTCCAAGGACCATCGAGAGGCCCGTATGTCTGGAGTGAAAGCAGAGCAGAGGGGAAATCCTTCTGGAAAGGGAAGTCAGTTTGTGAAGGGCCTTAAATGCTAGGCTGTTGCATCAGTGTCTGAACTGTAAGCAGTGGAGAGTCAAGCAATTTATTGGTAATTTTTAGCTTTAATTTTGGTAAAAATTACCAATGTGTTTTGTGTGTGTGAGTGTGTGTGTGTGTTTTTTTAAGCAGCAGTGCAAGCATATAGACCCAACCACATGCATGGGAAATCAGAATCCCTAAAGTTGGGCCTCAGGCATATGTTCCATAAAAAAATTCCCCCAGCAATTGTGACATAAACCAAAAGTTGCAAGCCACTGCTAGAGTGTAGATTGCCACTAGTGCCTTCTACAGCAGAGGGGTCAGAGGAAAGGAAACGAGAACTTGCTGAGTGACTTACAAGTGACTTACAGGTATTATTTCACTTAGTCCTAACAACAACACTATCAGAAGAATATTATTTTTATTTTAGAGACAAAGAAGCTGATACTAAAAAGATGTCACAAATACAGTGAAACCAGGGATTCAATCTGAGGTTCCAGGCTCCAAGACCACTGCCTTTCCCACTCTGTCACTTGGCCTCCCATAAACAGCCCAGTGCATTTTCCCCTTGAAACTTACTGAAGCTCAAATTAAGTTGCAAATGTGGTGTTAAAAAACTCTCCTCTCCTCGCATCCTCTTTTCTCTCCCTCAGTGACAGCTAAATTTTACCTTCCCTTTACCCTGAAACTGAACCAAAACCACTGAGGGCTATAATTTCACACTAAGTTTATTTTTTTAAAGCAGCTAAATAAACTTCCTCATAACTTTGTTTCTCTTTCTTCTACCCCTTCCTCTATGACATTTCCCAATACACCCTGCAGTTCTGAAATTCCTTATTCAGAACGGAATGTACAATGAAATCTGAAATATTAAGGAATTACTTTGGTGATTTTCTTTTTACTCTAAGGCTGATGAGAACTGTGTATCAGGCTTTACACAACATCCAAAAGAAATGATGTTGACACGCTGTTTAGCTTGCTACGAACAAGCACAAAGAGACTGGGGTTTTGTTTGTCTGTTTGTTTTTTAGTGATAGGGTCTACCTATGTTGCACAAGCTGGAGTGCAGTGTCTATTCATAGGCACAATGGTTGCGTACTACAGCCTTGAACTTCTGGTCTCAAGGGATCCATCTATCTCAGCCTCTCAAATAGCTGACAAGCATATACCACCTCATCTGGCTCACTGCTGCTATTTTAACCCAAGCAAGTTCCTCATTCTGCTTTTCTAAACCATTCTTTGTGGGTAGAATTTTATCCACTGTATGTGTGTATGTTTCTGTGTGTATCTACAAGAGACATTTAATATCTCTCCTTAACTCAGTACTGTATTTTTAACCATGTGTAAGATTCTCACCTTACATTCCTACTTCTATTTTCCCCAAAGGATATTAAATTTTTCAGATTGAATTCTTTATTTTTCTGACTGTGGGAAGTAGAAAAGTTCCACTTCAAAGTTTTCTGTCTTATTAAAGAATAATAATAAATGTTAGAAATAGTAGTCTCTTTTAAAGGCTTTCTTCAAAGCCTTCTTGCTTTTTACTAGTGACTCTTTGTTAAGCCTTATCCTATGTAGCTGTTAGATATAAAGGAATAAGTACATTCCATGTCCTTGTGCTTTAAACAAGATATTTGTGTTAGACATGCTCACAGGCATGTAGCACATTCTGTGTTCTTGTACTTTAACCAAGATATCTGTGCTAGATGTGCTCACAGACCTGTCCCAGCTCACAGCCTATGCCCCTTCCTTATTTGGACTTCCTTTTTGTTCTTCATTGCTTTTATCTGTTTAGAAAAGTTTTAAGTTGTTAGCCAATCAGGTTTTAGTTTAGATTCTGAGTTCTGGCTCCAACCAACGGAGATCAGACACAGCAGTAAGGACAACCCAAAAGGATAAAGGATATGTATGTCTGCTTTTCCTTTTTTCATTGTACTCTTGTAATCAAGATCTTGTAAATTAAAAATCAGTGATACAGACAGTCCATATATTTTGGCAAGATGACTAACAGGAGCACCCTTTCTGCAGAAAGTAAAATTGCCTTGCTGAGAGTTTCTTTGTCTCAGTGCTGATTTTTCTTTGTGGCACCAAGCACCTGTTCCAAAGGTGACTTATTATCAGTCACATTATACAAAAGACATTTTCCTCTCTTACACATACTTTATTAATTGCTCCACAGTTGATTATAATTTTCTTCCTTCTTTAAACTGGAATCCTGAGTAAATGCTAACACCCTTTCTTTTCTTTCTTTTTTTTTTTTTTTTTTTGAGATGGTGTCTCACTCTGTTACCCAGGTTAGAGTGCAATGGCACAATCTCAGTTTATCACAACTTCTGACTCCCAGGTTCAAGCCTCATCCACCTGAGTAGCTGGGATTAGAGGCACTCAACACTATACCCAGCTAATATTGCATTTTTAGTAGAGAAAGGATTTAACCATGTTGGTCAGGCTGGTCTCGAACTCCTGACCTTGTGATCCTTCCACCTCGGCCTCCCAAAGTTTTGGGATTATAGGCATGAGCCGATATGGCCAGCCTCTAACCACTCTGTCTTCTCAGCTTTAAGTGTTCTTCAAATGCAATTGGCAATTTGTGTATGCCTTCCTCCAAATCACTGAGGGTAAAGTCTGTCACTCTGAGATTCAGACCCATGTGGATTATCCTAGTACTATGTCTGAGAGGGTCTAAGCTTGATTTCTTAGCCAAAGAGGTTCAGACATAAACATCTATACCTATCCTTTAAATATCCACCTTGACAAGTAACACTTTCATTCTACCAGGAAGAGTCAATTGTCCATGTTAGGAAGCCTTGATGATGCTCTGAATACTCATCAGGCCACTGTGTACAAACATGCAAACCGTAATGCAAGCCCCAGGGAACAACAGTTACCTAGACTACAATGTGAATATTGCCCTCTGGACTTCTGCAGTGCACATTCTGCTCAACCACACCTGGCAGCCCTTCAGTAGGAATCTTCTTTTCCCCTAATGTTAATAGTTTTTATCTCTTTAGTGGATTCTTTTTCTTGCCTAACCACTGTAATCAAGAACTTGTAAATTAAAAATCAGCGATACAGACTGTCCATATATTTTCCTATTTCTTAAGCCTACTTTCTTAAGAAAGTAAAGATAAGCTTTTCCTGTATTTTTATTATCCCTTAGAACAGATTTTATTAAAAAAAATAAAGCTATTGAGATGATGAAAAAAGAAAGGTAGTGTTATCCTCAGAAAATAAAAGTGAGCTGTAAGAAAGGAGACTTATTTCTTTGGTTTGTTTTGTTTTAGTAGAGACGGGGTTTCATCATGTTGGCCAGGCTGATCTTGAACTCCTGACCTCAAGTGATCCACCCGCCTCAGCCTCTGAAAGTGCTGGGATTACAGGCATGAGCCACCGTGCCCAGTCAGAAGGGAGAGTTATCAGTGGGAAGCAAAACAGAGTCATCACACCAAAAATGCATTAAACACAGTCATATATTTATTTCAAAACATTAAGTTGACTTCTTTTTAATAAATATTTTAACACTGAGTGTAGCAAAACTTGTGCATATTCTATAAAGACAATTTATTAAAAAATCAGAGAAAAAGTTCTTTACCTCTAGGCTACTGATAAAAAAAAATCTGGGAGTAGGAACAGCCTCAGGGATGTTACAGGGGAATTGAAGGAGGGCAAGAGAGGAGTTGATAAAATCAGGAAAAGTGTTCTACTCTCCTTTCCTTCCTGGGGCCTTAAAATTAAAACTCTGGAATGGAAAAATATGTTTTCACATACATATCTGGTTCAAGGGGTGCTGTCTTTCTCAATTTTGGAAAAGAATCATTAGTTAGTGGTCAGGGTGAAAAATTGCAAGCAAGTTCCCAATTTCAGTGTAGGTTAGCTCACTTTGGTTACTCATAGGGTCATGATACCCTGAGAACTCAAGCAGGAGCTGCTACTGCTTGTGCTGAAAGCTCAGGCACAAACACAATATCAGTAAGTGGAGAACTGAAGGTGCTGCTCCATGTTAACAGCTCCTCTCAGAAGTTTTGTGTGGCTCTGAGTCCTTTCAGTGCAGTTGTGATATTAGCCTCTCCCAGCAAGCGGAAGGGCCGGTAGTTTAGCACCTCCACTTCCTGCAGCTGTGGCGAGACACACTCACCAGACAGTTGCCCAGGACACTCACCCATTGGGGGGGGAACCCATCTGGCCACTTTTTTTTTCTGTAAATCTCAAATGAAACAGAATCTCACAGATGTGGAGGTCCCCTCCTAATTGTAATAAATGTTAGAGAAATGCTCCAGAAAGGAACAAAAGGAGACCCTCTCAGATCAGTCTCAAACCAGAGTGGACTAGGGCTCCTCTGGGTGGCTTCAGGGCACAGAAAGGACCCTCAGCTACTCCTGGCCTCCCCGGGTCTCTTTCCCAGAAGATACAACTTCCCAGGCTGTGAAAAGTAACAGAAGGCAAAACCCTCAAAGCCACCACTGCTCTAGGGACACTTTTGAGTAGGATGAGGAAGACAGAGAGAGCTCTCCTTCATTTGGTTACAGGATCTGAAGGCCAAGAGCAAGTAGAAGATGGCTAAAGAGAACAAAAGGGGTTTCTTGCTGGTACTATATTACGGATCAGCAACAGTTTCAAACAGTGTCAAAGGGAAGTGCTGGCTCAGGTTCTGGTACATTTGAAGACAACTGAAGGCCAAGACTTAGCTAAGGAAGGACACCAGCAGAACAACTAGATACACTTTCACTTCTGCAAGTGTTAGAATCACAGGGAAGTTTTTTTTTTTTTTTTTAAGCTAGGGGGAACCTCCAGAATCTCCTAGTTGAATTTCTTCATTTTCCACAAGTGGCCCTGAGGCCTAGGAGAGGGTGAGCAGCCTGCTGAGGCTGCACAGCTTGTTCTACCTGCATGGGGGCTACAGAGAGGGACAGAGGGGCTACCGGGGAACCTTGTACACCATGCGGCAAGTTACATTCAGAATCCCCTGCAGACAAAAACTTCCCAACCCTGGGCCCTTTCCTGTTGATTTGTCACAGAAATGGACAGGTCCTGGGCTGAGCTTGTCCATGGGCTTCCCTCAGGAGGGGATGAGGAGTGCAGGTGTGTCTTTACTTCCCAGTTCGGGAGGCCACCTGAATGGCTTTGATCCACTCTGTACGCTCCTTGGGGGTGGCCGCTTGCAAGAAATAGTGCACTTCATCAGCTGTGATGATCTCAAAAAGGTTCTCTTCCTCACTCTTCCTGCCTGGGGAAAAAGAAGGGAAATGGCAGCACTCACAGGAAAGACCACTTGGTCTACCCTCCTGTGCAAGCCATGAAATCTCTTTCATTAGTGTTCCAAGGAAATTATGTGGCTTGCAAACATACAAACAATGTATGATTACAGAATAATTCACTGCATAATTCTACATATAGTATTGATATAGTAGCTACATAGTACAGTTGTGTGTATATATATATATTTTTAAAAAATAGGTAAAACACTCGAGGAGAAACATTTTCTTTCACAGTTTACAGGCAAACTAAATTTCTCACCTTTGTATAGCAACAGTGTTTAATGAATAACCTCTAATAGTTTCTAATGGGTACCATTCCTCTGCTCATAATCAAAACCAAGGGTTGCTCTTGATATGTATCTATCTACCTGTCTTTCTATCAATTTAGATTTATGTTTATAATATATGTGTATATGTATATGTTTAAATACATACACAAAGCCAGACCTACCACCAGTACCACAAGTATAGTCTGAACTGTTTTTTATCCAGGGCTAAGTCAGAGCTCTGCTGAAGACTAAAAGGCAATAACCTGGCCAACACCGTGACAAGACTTAAAACATCGCAAACCAAATAAAGAATGAACCATGCGTCCTGCCCTAAAACCAAACTAGGTGGTGGGGGTGGAGGTGGGCAAATTCAGGCATAGTAAAACTCTAGGCACTTGCAGTTCATATGTTTTCCTGTCAGCCTTGATTATACTACAAACCAAACATGGCAGGACAAAACCAGGGTTTGGGATGTCAAAACCACATCTCCCCAGTGATGCCATTTGTCCTCAGCACCTGAGAAGTTGAACTACACCCACGTGGTTATTCCATGTACTAAATCACAGCCTTGTGGTCTGGGGTCCTCTAGTGCAACCCCGTCATTGCTCTTCTTCTAAGCCATTGTGAAGTGGCATTTTCCCAGCATTGCTCATGGACTTGCTCAAGGCATCCACAAAAGCCATCCAACTCCCCAAGGCCTGGAAAGCCTGGAGAACAGTTGGGGGACAAAAAATAACTCTTGGTTTCTCCAAGGTTTTCAGACAGTAAATTCATTTCTGCTTTTTTTTTTTTTTTTTTTTTGAGATATTGTTCTGTCACTCAGGCTGGAGTGCAGCGGCACAATCTTGGCTCACTGCAACCTGCCAAATTCAAGCAATCCACAGGCACGTGGCACCAAGCCAAGTTAATTTTTGTATTTTTAGTAGAGACGGGGTTTCACCATGTTGGCCAGGCTACTCTCGAACTCCTGACCACAAGTGATCTGCCCACATTGGCCTCTCAACATGCTGGGATTACAGACGTGAGCCACCATGCCTGACCTATTCCTGCTTATCCTGATTAATTGATTGATTAATGTTGACCCAGTAGGTCCGGGTATGGGAAGGGAGTCTGAGCACACACACCTCTCTCACACAGAAATTCATCTTACCATCTGAGTTGCTCTCTACTGAAGTCACCACACAGCCTCTCAAGTGAATTGCTCCCAGGGGATCTTCTCCCTAAAGAAGAAAGGAGTTGTTCATTATATTTCCAAAGTACAGCGTATACATAGACCTCATCCTGTTGGTGAAAAAACCAGACTCACTCTTGCATAGATCAGGGTCCCCAAAATAAGTAAGAGCAGAAGGAGATTAAAGAAAACTCTTTCCAGATCTAGGGTTCTTCCAGATCCTCCACACCCAGCTTCAGTGGGGCCAGGAGGCTGGATGAGAAAATGCAAGTCAATCTGGACTTGAGTCTGAAGAAAAGCGGCAAGGGAGGTGGAGAGGCTCAGGTCACCATATCCCACTAGAGAAGAGCTACATGTTTCCAGAGCTCTTTGGTACCATGCACCTGATGCAGCAATATAACCATCAAGGGAGAGTCAAAGAGCCCAGTGCTGCAAGCAGAGGCTGAGCACCCAACCCAGAGTTGTCTTCACACTTTAAGGGAGGTTCATTTTATGGTGGAAAAAGCTCTCTTTGACAATTAACAGCCCAAATTGCTGGACTTAAACAATGCCCTCATCCAAGTTGACCTAGATGGGGAATTATTACCTTTATGCATATTAAGCCATGGACTGATTGAATTTCCCTGAAAATATCAGATTGGGGAAAACAAAAAAAATTGTGCTGAGTTGACCAAATAAATTATAATATAGTGAGATTTTGTTCCATCCCTAAGCTTATGCTGACCTCAGAGGCCCAAGATCTCAGAGCTTTGAATTGAAAGGGGATAGAAAAAGGTAGAGGAGAATGGGAAAAAAAAGAAGTGGGCCAGTAAAGAGAAAAAGGGGATATCAACAGAGCAGAGAAGAGGAACGGGAAGCCCAGATTATAAATGCAGCGTTTATTTATTTGAACGGATTTATCAACCACAGGATCTCACCCCAGCAGGGTCATAGTAGTGCAGGTAGGCAGGGTCTTCTCTCAGGATGAACTTCCTCACTTTCCAGTTTTTCCTCCTATGCCCCTGTATCCAGGGTCACCATTAAAAGAAAGGAACGATGAGTTTCCAGCATCACTCAGTACATACAATACCTACAGAATAAGTCTTTGCTGAATTGAGAAAAGAAAGAAAAATTGAAATACTAACTCCAGGATAACAATATCCCAGCCTAGGTCTTTGTCGGGGAGATAGCACTAAAGCCAATCAATAATTTGGATGTTATTAGATGAAACAGGTGGATTAAATTATTTCTAATTATTTTCTTCCAGCTTTAGTGTGATATAAGGCAGTACTAAGTAGGATGTACTATGCTAGGTAATGTAGGGGGAATATGGAGGCTTAAGATGCCCTGATCTTTAAAGATTTTATGACCTATGTTGAAATATAAAGTAGCAAATGCCTAAGTCAAATAATTGGTTTAAATAACGGATTTCAAAGGCATTAAATGAGGAATATGTAATTGTTGGCTTTGGATATCAAAGAAAGCCTCATAATGACCTGCACTTATCCATACAGGACACAGGATTTAGATGGGCAAGACAAAGGTGGGTGGGAGGACAATTGACAACACAAGAGCAGAAGTGGGAATGCAAGAGACATAGTCAGGTGTTGACGAATAAGACCAGTCTGGTTAGAATGTAGGGTTTGTGAAGAGTGGCAGAGGCAAGGTGGGAAAGTGGACAGGGATTTAATAGAAATAAAAGGCAGGATTTGTTGTTGATGGCTTTTGAGTAGGAAGTGAAAGGATTACAATTACATTTTAAGAAGATTACTATGGTGACAAAGTGCAGGATGGACCAGCCAGCTAGATTAAAGGAAAGCCAGGGAAAAGATGATAAGTAAAAAGGAATTTATTCGGGAAGGATTACAACAATCCAGGTATAAAATTATTAGAAACTAAATCTTAGATAGCAGTAGTGGGAATGAAATTGTGTGTTGCTGTAACAGACATGAGGGAGAAGGAAGAAGAGGAAGGAGGAGAAGGAGGAGGAGGAGGTGACAGAGAAGGAGGAGGAGGAGGAAAGGAAGAAAGAAAGAGGAAGGAAGAAGAAGAAAGAAGGTGATGACTTGGTCTTTCCCAATAGAATTAAACACTGACATTGTCTAGACTTTTTTGGTCTAGACATTGTCTAGTTTTAAGGGTGGGATTTGTGTCTTGCTTGTCTTTGCTTCCCAGCACCACAGTGCCTGGCACATAGCAGCTGCTTCATATCTGTACTTGCCATGAGCTACCAAGTTATTTCCATTAATGTAGCAGATTTTAAAATGTCATGGTAAACCTGACTCTATGATTTCCCACGGGGAATTCAAATGACTTAACTCCAGAAGCCAAAAATAATATTAGATTAAAAGATATGTAGTTTCTATCTTGCCAATAAAAGAAACATTATTTGTAATTTCTAAAGCACCACATATTGGCAAGCATGTATACAAATTTTCCAACATTTTTCATTGTACTTGTGCTGAAAGTAATAAAACATGTGTGGTTTTAGCAAACAGTGCCTCCTTCATAAATCCAGAGGAATTTCAAGAAAGCTTTCAGAAATGGGCCTAAGGTTTTTGGCTAAACATTTGGTGAAGAAACTCATTTCCAAAGAACTTTCTACTTCCTGAAGGATGGAGCTGGAACCCCTGTAGAATCATATGGAAGGACAGAAAATATTTCTACCTGCTGTATCATATCCAAAATGGCTTTTGCAAAGCATAGACTTCCAAAAGTGTACATTCCTGCTCTTCGCCTTAACTGATGTTGCCCTTCAAAATAACAACACTCAAGTTGCCCCCCCTCACCATTTCCTCTTCACTGACAGGACCACATCTCATGCTGTCTTATGTAATTGCTGGACAGTCACCAACTTATTATGAGTCAATGGAAGAGGAAGGTAACAAGAGGATGTGAAATCAACCAATGCTGCTCAACCATCACATTCCCGTTAAGCTCTCCATGACATCACAATGTGGCATGTTGACGCATTGAATGTTAGTAGATACATGTCTGGTCATCTCTCACTTAATGAGTATTTTCTAAGGAATATTAAGAAATACATGCATGCCTCAGGTTTCCAAGAATTGTTGCTGAACTGTCAAAGCCATCTACTTATATTTGACTTAATTAGCTCCACAAGCGTTCATTGCCTATTACAGATCAAGAAGGATGCTGAACTCTGCAGCAGATACAAGAGAAACATTTATAACACAATGTCCCTCTCCCTCAGGAAATCTACATGTGGTTGAGAATTAAACAAGCAAATACTTTATTCATCGCCATAACAGAAAGAATTACATAAAAAGGGATCATATTGAATATAATCCAAGATCATTCATCCTAAAACTTGCTGCCAAGTAGGATTATTTCTCCTGGGATGAGAAAAGTGGAAATAATAGGGTAGGGGTGATGGCCTCCAATTGGCCACAGCTACTTCTCATCTGTGAGGTGTGGAGCACAAGTGTCCTTCTTCATTATAATAAGCCCTCTATGAGGTTAATCCTGGCTATCTCCCAGCAGCGGACACAAGGGAGGTTTACTTTTAGAACTTTAAGAAAAAGTTTTTAAAATTCTTAAAATTCCCTTGGGTGATTTTGATGTAAACCACAGTTACTAACCCCTAAAGTAAGAGATTAGAAACATTAAGGGGAAGTGTCAATTCAAATTAAAGGGGTTTTTGCTCCCCACCCCCTGAAAAAATAAAAGTTCAGAGGAAAGAATATTATAAAAGAACAAAATTCCTGAATGCACATAGATTTCTGTTTTCTTCACATAAAAAGGAAGCTTCTAAGAAAGTCTATTTAACTGTATATTGATAATAGAATAAATTAGCTCTTAAGAAAAAGGCTGGCTCAGTGGTTCTCAGCCTTGGCTGCATGTCAGAATCACTTGGGAACTGTAAAAAATCCAGAGACTCTGTTTAATTGGCCTGGCGTGCAGTTTTAACAGTTCCCTGGGAGATTCAAATGTGCACCAACTGAGCTAGCTAAGGCTAAATTGTACCTATCAAGGCCAGAAAAGGAAAACACATAAGTAGGTTCAATCCTTGTCCCTATTGTATTCAAAATACACCCAGGCACCCATTACCACACACAATTTTTGGCCATCCCAGGTCTCCTACTGGGCTGCTTCACTGAGACATGACTCCAGTCCAGTCCCAACTTTACCCTTTGTTAACCTTCATCCTTGGCTTTCCAAGAGCTCCATTCTAGACTAGGGCTTGTCCAATCAACTAATTCAAGAAACAGCTGATAAACAGAATTATGGAAAAAACCAACAAAATAAGAAAATTCCCTCCCAAGTTACTCTTCTTGTCTTAACCGCCACATTCCAGCACCTGCGACTGAAGAGCCAGGATCATAGGAATGTTTGGCAGAACCAACAAGAAAGCAGCAGCGGGCAAACTCTGTCCATGAGCAAATGCCCGAGCCTCACCTGGATAAGGCTGGCCATGCCCTAAGCCTTTCCTTTAATCTAACCAGCTGGTCACCCTATATAAAAAGATATTATAATAGTCCATGAATTCTTTATAAATCCTTGCCATATATTTCTTAGGACAGTGTTCTCTTAAAACCTGATGTGAAGGTAAGTTTTCCATTCTAATGTCCCACTTCCCCCCCGTGAAACTCAAGATCCATACCTATACCTACTCTCAGCTAGCACAGCACAAAGTCCCTCTTTGTAAATGTAAATATAGGCTCTTCTCTGGTTCTTCCTTCCTTGCCCATTCCATTAATCACTAAGACGTATACTCAGGGTCCTAACATGAAGTAAGTCAAATCCCCCAGTCCCATGGAGCCTAGAGACAGTACATGAAAATCTCCTGATGGCAACCGATTCTCTCCATTATATACCGAGCAGACAATTCACAGTGCAGCCAGGAAGGCAAGACATTGGCCCTGTAAAGCAGCCTTGGCCTCTGTGACGCCTTGTGCTAGTATCAACTAGCTTCCCCCTGAACGTTCTCATGTCTTCCTGCGACTTCCTCCACCAAGTGCTGACCCTGGCTTCCTCAGTCATCTCGGCCCCTGTCCATCTCTCACCTGTTGGCATCATATGACTTGGCACCTGGTAACTGACTAGAGCTCTTCAGCACTCCCCAGCCCTTGCCTCCAAGACTGATGGTGGCCTGTACCTGTAGACACCTGGACATCCCCCCAGGACTCTGTCTATGCTCTCAGTCTGCATTTGACTTTCACCTGCTGTTCCTGTGAACTGGCCTCCACATGCCCGGGTTTTGGTCTTGCCATGCCCTACCCACAGACTGGAATGACACTTCTTTGTGCTCAGTGGTATACTATGTTCCTCTTCTGGGTATGGCCTGTTCCTGTTTACCTGGTTACTTTGAAAGGAGGAGGGACAGGTAAAATGGAAGTCGTTTTACCATGAGACATCTTTTTCTTTTGGATAGCATCTCTTAGACAATTTATCTCCTCTGGCCATATTTTTCTTGAAACATCTCTTTTTTTTCCTGTGCTATTGATAAAAGAGGCATTTTCCTACTTCTAGGGGCATCTTCTGCCTTGTCTGACTCAATCTTCCTGACCTAAAGCCACTTTGATATCTACATAGCTATTCATCTATCTTCCACTTTGTGGGTTTCATTTTCTGCTTATTAACAAACCAAATGTCATTAGATAACTTAGAAATAAAAAAAGGGATAAGGCAAGATGGAAGCAGTAGTGGCCACTTACCTGCTTCAGCAAACATCCCTGCTTGATAATGACCCCTCTGAATTCTTCTTTCAGAATCACGTCATCATCACTGGAATTCTCTTCACAGAAGAACCCACTGTCTGGCTGTTGGGAAATCAAACAGCAAGCTGACGTCACCAGTCTTAGGCACTTTGCACCTTGTGCCATCTCCATCTCCCCCTCCCTTCCAGCCACTAGGGCAGCCTCCTCCTTTTCCTTCCATTTCTGTGTACATCCCAATCTGAACTTCAAAGGGCACCCTTGGTGAGCGAGTTTCTCTTCCTCCTTTTACTTTCTTCAGGACTGTTCCTTTCTTGTCTCCACTCATGTGTGCTCTTGTCCGTATCCTTTTATTCTGGAGGGTCTCCCAGGCTGTGTTCTAACTTCAGCTTCATCTTCCTAACCAGGCACATGTGTGCCTTCAAAGCCTTCCTTCTCTTGGGATGTCATGGTCACATCCTTGAAAGCAGGGCTACTATCACCAGCTCAACATCTGCCAATGAGCCCCCTCTTGGAGAAAACTGAGAGCACGTGTCCAGCCTCTTCCCCTGAGGTTATGAGGTAATTGGGACTTGCTCAGCAAAAGTGGATGATGAATCAAACCAAGGAAGAGAAGCCATGTGATTGGTATTTTTAGACTCCTGCACTGAAATGGCTATAAGCAACCAGATCAAAGGACTGAAGAAGAAGAAAAAAAAAAAAACAGACTGTGGAACTTCCCCCCAAATGAAATGAAACTCTCTAGGGTGTTCACTTCGTGTTTATAAGAAGAATGCTTCTCTTAAGTAACTTCCTAACTTCCGTGCTCTGATCCAAAATAGAAACAAAACTACCAAAATCCCCCAAGAAATCCACCATTCCTGGATTTCTCACATGGCCTAAGAATAGGTTCGCATTGTGTAACATAGTGTTTCCCAATCCTAGGTAAGCATACCAAGGGAGTTACACAAGATGACTGCAGGAAGTGACATCGATGGACACATTGTATATTGAAAGTCACGTATTTTAATGTACATTTGGAACAATGCACCTTATATTGAAAGTCACGTATTTTAATGTACATTTGGAACAATGCACCTAACACATCACACCTGTGATTTATGGATTCCCCTCTGGAAAGGGAGCTCCAGGAGGGTGGGATTTTTGCCTGTTCCTCCAGCATGCTTGTCTAGGTGGCTGTATCTCCTGTCTAAGAGAGTGCTTGACATAGACTAGGGCCTAAGACATTTTTACAAATGAATTATTGCTTAGAATAAGATAGTTGGGGAGCCAAGGCAGGTGGATCACTTGAGGTCAGAGGCTCAAGACCAGCCTGACCAACATGGTGAAACACGATCTCTACTAAAAATACAAAAATTAGGTGGGCATGGTGGCGAATCGCTCGAACCCGGGAGGTGGAGGTTGCAGTGAGCCGAGATGGCACCACTGCACTCCAGCTTGGATAACAGAGCAAGACTCTGTCTAAAAAAATAAAAATAAAATAAAGAAAACAATACATTTTTTAAAGTCCATGTAAAAATTTTTTTCAAGTAAACAGTAGTATCCTTTTATAATAACGAATTTATTTGGACAGGGCAAGCGTTGTGGAGAGGGCAGCTGTTGAGCTGGGAAACGCTGGTATAACAGAAGTCCTAAATGGGCCTGGAAGCTTCAGGTATTCCCTTGTTCTTCCCAGCTGACATCCCTACCCGCTACCTAACAGCCCCTGTAGGGCTGGGGCCTTTATTTTGCATATGTGTCTATGAACTGAAATCAACCTAGAATCTGCTCAGGGCAGCCTTTCTTACAGGAGGAAGAGATGGGTAGCTTTTCTTACAAAGTAGTAGAAGGCATCAGGGTTGTCCAGGAAAGGGTGTTCAGCGGTTCCATCCACTGCACTCTTGGACATATCTCCAGCAGGCTGCAGATACCCCTCATTGAGCAGTGATGAAGCAATCATAAGGCCTTCCTGGCGATTCCTAACAGACTGGTTGGATACCAGCCAATCAATGACGCAGTTACCTAGATGGGATCAGCACAGGGAAGGTTAGCTCTCCCTACTAAAGAACAAGCCCTGACAATCACCCCTGAACTGACTCCAGAGCACCCACAGGTCTAACTTGTCTTGTCTCCCCTGTTATATCAAACAAAATCAATGGGATAGAAACCCAGTTAAAAAAAAAAACAAAACAAAACAAAAAAAAACTATGCAAAGGGCTTTTAAGACCAACCACATGCTGCTTAAGAAGCAACACATGGCCAGGTGTGGTTGCACACCTCTTGTCCCAGCTACTCTGGAAGCCGAGGCAGGAGGATCACTTGAGCCCAGGAGTTCAAGACCAGCCTGAGCAACATAGCAAGATTCCATCTCAAAAAATAATAACTTTAAATATTAAAAAATAAAGTCGTTTTTTTAAAAAAAAAAAAAGAAAAAAAGCAACACGTGCATCAAAGAAATGGGTTTTACTAACCCATTCACTTATCCCATTAATGAACAAACATTTACTGAGCACCTACTAGATGCTGGGTGCTCTACCGGGTGTTGGAGAAATTCCCTCAGGGACTGTAAAAGGGCATGATGGGTGTAATAAGTAAACCTTGTAACAAGTGTTCTGCTATATAAGTCAATTTCAAGACTACTGGGTCAAATCTGAAGGTGTGAAAGAGGTGGAGGAGGTGAGGGAAGGGGGCTGTGCGTGCACCATCAGGAAAAGATTCATAGAGGAAGTGACACTGGGCAGAGGCTTAACACATGAGTAGGTGTTTGCCAAGCATGTGAGGCAGGATGCAGAGGAACCAGCACAGACTGAGGGGGCAGCACTGTGAACAGATGCACGCAGGCAAAAAGCAGCCCTATGGGGCTGGGAAGGAGTGGTGGAAAGAAGGCAAAAGGAAACAAGAGGAGGAGGAAGGTGAAGGGTGGGTGGGGAGAGCTTTGATGGCACAGTAAGAAATTTGGCAATGGGAAATCATTGCAAGTTTTTAAACAGGAAGTAACGTGATAAATATATGTCCTAAATTAAAATTTGATGACATCACCTGCACTGATTATCATGCCTTTGCAGAGTCTAGCAGGGACCTTGAGAAGTCATTTAAGCATGCTTCCACCTCAAGAGATGATTGCAAAGAGAAGAAAATGAAATTGACCCCTACATTGGATTATTAGCAGGTTACAAGGAAGTTTTGTATTAAAAACAACATGCTTGTTCTTACAAGAAAAAAATAATAAATGTTTGAGGTGATGGATACCCTAATTACCATGATTTGATCATTGCACAACGTATATATATATATCAGAACATTAACTGTGTCCCATAACTATGTACCATTATGTGTCAATTTAAAAAAATAATAAAAATAAAAAGCAGTGTGTTCCTTACATATGTAGCCAACAAGGGAGTTGACACAACAGCCTGCCTGTCCTGTGTTATTCAGGCAAAAGCAGTAGGGATGCCACCCTCAAAACAGGAGTGACAGAAATTGAGTAGCAAGCCTTCCGTGAATTTCATATATGAAAGGCTTGTGCTCACGTTTCTTTCTCCACACGGATAAACTAATTGACACTGCATTTCTTCTTTTCGTCCTCATAGCAACCTTTTCAAAGAGGTAGGGCAGTAACTGTAGTCCTCATTTTAAGAATGAAAAAATTAAGGCTAAGGGAATTTGAGTGACCTTAAGCCAAAGTTACAACTACTCTGGGCTGTCACTTTTAAGTGTTCTAACCCTTGCATCTATGCTCACTCAGTGAGGCATACTGAAGCTTGAAAGACAAGTTTGGTCTAATTTCCCAGTCATCGGACTTTTAAGGTCCTCCATCATGTGTCAGCACTGCTGGGTCCCAGTCTCTGCTGCAGCCTTCATCTCCCAGCTGAGGCCATCTGACTCCTCCATGAAGTCTCCACCATAGAAATCTCTAGAATCCACCGTGACCTTCAGCAGGAAGGATTTAAGAGGTACTAGCCCACCTGTAATCTTTGGGATTACAGGACACGCTGAGAGGCCAAGGCGGGCAGATCACGGGAGTTCAAGAGTTTGAGACCAGCCTGGCCAACATGGTGAAACCCCATCTCTACTAAAACTACAAAAATTAGCCAGGGGTGCTGGCACATGTCTGTAATCCCAGCTACTCAGGAGGCTGAGGCACAGGAATCGCTTGAACCCGGGTGGCGGAGGTTGCAGTGAGCCGAGATTGCACCACTGCACTCCAGCATGAGGCACAAAAGCGAAGCTCCATCTCAAAAAAATAAAAGGAAGAAGTACCACCCCAATACTCTGGGACTCAGTAACACATTACACAGAAATCAGTCTGACCTGGATCTTGTGCCCAAGTCTACCTGGAAACCCCCTCCTCTTCCCTTTGCCCGAGGCTGTTGTAGTGACCTCAGTCCTGCTAGAGTTAGGTTGTCAGTTTCTCATAACACTGCCCACAGCCTAGTGTTTTGATCCCAAATCTCACGCTTGCTTTGTCTGATACTCATGGGCGGCTGCCTTGACTCTCTGAGGCTCATTCCCACAGGGGACTACCTCATCGCCATTGATCATAGCCTTTTTCCCTTAGCCTTGCCTATCCTGACCTAGATCGATTTTATGGATTATCTGTTGACAGCACAATGTCTTAAATTCCACATCTGTTGTATTATCTCAGCGTTTTCTTCCTTTGTTCTCTCTTGTTACCATAAGAAAGCCATGGTGTGCATCTGACAAACTAAGCACTAAATTGTACATCCCATTTTGTTCCTCCTGAGGAACCATCCGCCCTACCAGGCTGGCCAGTTTCTTTTTCTAGATGCATATTCTGTGCACGTCTGCCCCATAACTTTGTCCTCACCACCTCTGCCCATCCTCTGTCCTGCCGCCTCATCAAAAATTTTCCCCATAAATACTTAATGAAATTCTACCCATCTTTCAGGGTCAAATCTAGGTACCACCTCCTATTCACCCCATCAACCCTGAGCTCTTTCTCTTTTCTGGACCCCTGGAATTGGTTGTACAGACATGTGACCCCTTAAAACACAGTAATCACTTGAGCTTGCACCATACGTGTGCCAGGCCCTGTTCTACACACATAATGGCAAGCCTGTGAAGTAGGTGCACTGTGATTATCCCCACTTTATAGACAGAGCAAGTGAAGCACAGAGAGCCTAAGTTATTGACCCAAGGTTTTATAGCCAGTTAAGTTGCAAAGCCAGGATTTGAACCAAGGTAGTCTGTCTCTAAAGAACATGTTTTTAACTACTACACCATACTACCTAAATTCATAACACTTAATACCTGACCCTGTGCAGCTCTGATATCCCTAATATTGTCATTTAAATCTTACATTGTATGCCTTGATGCTTGTTTATCATAGTAAGGGTTGCATCTTATCCAATTCTGTATCTATTTCTAGCAACTCTCAACATAATGCCATTTATTGAGAAAAAAAAATCCTTTGATTGGAATGTTAACTTGAACCAATGTTAACTTGAACAAACAGGGCTTGAACAAAAACATTAGCTTGAACAACAAAGTTCTTTCTATTTTCACTCTGCAGAAGCTCCATTCTCAGGCTCATCAGGCTGCATTCTGGGACCCTTTCCAACCCCCTACACTTTACACCCCCACCTCACACATGAAGCTAAAGGAGGACTCCATATCGCCTTCCCAGTTGCCCTATTTCAGGCCCGCAAGTGCTTTTACCTGTGAAGCAGTGATTAAAAATCTTCTTGTCCTTCTCTAGGTTCAGTTCTTTTATTCCTTTTTCAGTGTCTTTCATGGACAAATATAAGGCACTGCACAGAAATTTCAAAAAAAAAAAAAAAAAAACAGTTGGATGAGTGGGGAACATTTCAGAATGGTAAGTTCTCTCTGGGAGTTGTCACCTTGAAGAGCCTGGGTACCACCTCCTATTCACCCCATCATCCGCTGAGCTCTTTCTCTTTTCTGAAACCCTGGAATTTGTTGTACAGACATGTGACCCTTAAAACACAATAAGCACTTGAGCTTACACCATATAGCACTTAGTGTGTCAGGCACTGCTCTACACACATGATGGCAAGCCTGTGAAGTAGGTGCACTGTGATTGTCCCCATTTTATAGACAGAGAAAGTGAAGCACAGAGAGGTTAAGTTATTGACCCAAGATTTTATAGCTAGCAAGTTGCAGAGCCAGGATGGTGCCTGGGATAGAAATATTCAGGAAGGAAGAAACTTCATTCCCAACCTCTGTCAGGAGTTAGATTTACCTGTTGGCCTCTGACCAACTTTAGGCTACAACTATCACCTGAAATTTTAAGCAGCCAATGTCAGAGGCCATTAAACTGGGTTAAGGCATAGTGAACAAAAGCTCCCCCACCCCAGGTATCCCCTGAGCTTAATCTTCCTCCATCAGGTCATAGGTAGGGGAGGGGCAGCACTCATATCTACATAACTCTGTAGCCTGCACAGCGTTTAGCAATGCAGGAAGGTACTTAAAGTCTCCTAAATTCTCTTAAATTCATTCAGCTTTTCGTTAATTATTGGTGCCTGGGATGCAAAGTTGCCCCACTTTAGAGGCCAAAGATGAAAGGTTCTCAGGGTCTGTTTTCTGCACATTCTAGGCCTTTCATATCCCTCAATCTTCATATCCCAATTCTTTAATGCTCTTCAAGGGACCATCCGTGGTAGACATCTTCCTTTAAGGAAGTGAATGCTTCCACTAAGCCTATGTCTTATCTGTAAAATGATGAGATATAAGGCAAAATAGTGAGAAGTTCTCATTTTTGTCCCTGAAGAATGCACCAAAGATAGCCTTACAAGAGAAGTTTTAAGCAACAAAACAGAAGGCCCCTTCCATGTAGCCTGTGGCTCCCTCTAGTCCGAGCATACTCCACACTTAGTTCTGACAGCCCTGGCCAAGACCGTGGTCACTTGATGGCCCCCGTCAGCAGCTGCGGCTACACTGGGTTCCTCTTTGGAGCTCTTTGCCAATAAGCTTTTGTGGTGAGGGGGACTGCTAAGTCTCACTCAGCTCAGTTCACAAACTTTGTCAAACTCCTGTGCCATGCCAAGTCATGTGTTCGTCATGCAGAAGTGCAGAAGAGGTATCTTTAGGCTCCTCTCAGTGCCTCTCCCCACCCCCCCCATAAAAATAAAATTCTTGTTGGACATTTTAAGCAGCCAACATGGGATTCTTCTCAACAGGGTTGCTGTTTCAGGGAATGCTCAACAAAAAAGCGAAACTACTAAAAAGGAAGGTACTCCTAGAAAGGGGTTCATACGACCAAAGATGTGAAATATTCGGGAAGGAAGAAGCCCCATTCCCAACCTCTGTCAGGAGCTAGATTTACCTGTTGACCTCTGACCACCTTTAGGCTACAACTGTCACCTGCAATTCCAAGCAGCCAACATGAGAGGCCATTAAACCAGGTCAGGGCAAAAATGGTTTCCACTGGGATGGGTGTTTACCCTGGCTGGCTCTTCCTGACGGTGCAATGCATGAAATTGAACTTCAAACCTTGCTTGTTCGGATGAATAGTCCCTGCCTTTTCCTTTCTACCTAAAGATCCTCAAGATTTATTTCAAGATTGACTTATTATGGCTACTTTTTAAATGCAATGATGAGGTTTCTCTCCCTCTCTCTCTCTCTCTCGACCCCTTATGAGGGAATTTGTACTCCATTGGCCTCCTCTCCTCATCTGGAAGGCTTTGGATCACTCCTTCAGATCCAGGTAAACATCTTAGTACACTAAGTGCCAAGATTGACCTGGCAGAGTGGATACAACGTCAGAGGTGGCCAAAGCAAGCCTTAGAGCAGGATCTGCTGTGTTTGTGTCTATCAGAAGGAAGGGGTAAAGAGAAGTAAACACAGAAAATCACCCTAAATCAATGGTTTCTGGCAGTCGAATGGACCTCCTGGTAGACTTCCTGGCAAACTTCTGGCCTCCTTCAATGCATTTAATGGCCTTCTTGATATCCCGAACCCAGGCATCTCTCTCTTCCAGGAAGGCTGCCTGGAAGAAGTGGTCCTGCTGTTTGGTTGTAGTAATCTTAAACACAAACTGAAAATCAAGACACATCCCATTAGGAATGACTTATTTCAAGGGGCTGGGGCCCCTCATGAAGCAGAGGCCATTGGCCTAAACCTGTTCTGGCCAAGAGACACCCAAATGCCAGGGTCGGCTGTGGGTGGTGGTAAGAGGGACAAGCCCAAGGAGCACCACCCACACTGAGGGTGATGCTTGCACCAAAAGGTGAGTGCCTGAACAGGGGTTCACAGCAGCTTATGATGTCAACTCACCATCCTTTTGCCAAAGTCCTGGCAAGGGCTAGTCAGAGTGCTCCCTTTCAGTGGGATCATTCCTTTGGGGCTGTTGTCACTTTTCTTCTTGTAGAATTCAATTCCATCTTCTAACAATACAACCCACATGGGTTTCCAGGTATTGAACATGCTCCCCTGTAATGACAACCAAAAAAGCTGAGATGGGCAGGGCTCTTCGCAAACTGTGTTTTCTTCCTAATAGGAAAGATCCTATATTTATTTACAGTTGGCTTTAAAAATGTTTTGTGACATCATCTTTGTTCCTTCAACCTAAGTCCTCTCAAATCAGTGACTTCTTGAGGAGTCATTCTCATTTCTACCCCCGGCTCTTTACTCAAGCTGACCCCACTCTCTGGAACACTCTTTCCCAACTCTGCCCTCTCCTCTTTCTCCCTTTGCCTAACCTCTCCCCATCCTTCAAGGCTCAGTTTGCACACCTCATGGATAAGGCTTCCCAAACTGCACAGACCCACCCTGATCTCAGGGGCCCCTCCCGCTTTTCTCATTGATTATGTCACACATCCCAGAACTTTGTCATATATTTCCTCATATAGTTCTTTGTCTTCAGTATGGTTATCTTTCCTTCTCCATGGCAATTACATCATCAGGTACTTTCCTTGGCTCCTGATACAGAGCATACAGGGATGTTCATTAAAATAATAGAAAAGAAGATCATTTCCCAAACTGCCAAGTGCTAGCAGCTGTCACACCTCATTGAGAAGAGCAACCAATCCTTCTTACTGTCTACTTCATCCCCACCCAAACCCTTTCCTGCTATAATTTCCCCTGCACCTCCCTTTTCATGCCTGGTTCTCATCACCAAGAACCACAAAGGAGCCACCTCTCAGAAACATTCTCACCCCCACTATGTGTAAGAACTGCCGGCAGATCTTGCTTCTGAAACTACATCTTACACATGATCTTACAGTTCTTTTTTTTTTTTTTCTTTTTTGAGGTCTTCATTTATTTTTACATGTTTAACTGACTATTTTGAGGAGAAAAAATATACAAATGATAATTATTGGTGTTTGGTTGGAAGGGTTTTTATTTTTAAGGGTTTTAGAACATTTTAATTCTTGGAGGGTTAGTCAGAATTGGAGAAAGAATTAAATACCCTAAAGTCAAAATGTAGAAAGTTCTTTTCCTAGTGCTTTCCAAAATATGGTCTGCAAACAAATTAATCTGACTCACTGAAGATGGGTATAAATAAGAGCTAGTTTTACCCCAAAATTGCCTGCACTTATAAGCTCTAGTAACACTGCTGAGATGGCTGGCTGAATCTTCCGTGATATAGCTCAAGTGTTCTCTCTCTTTTTCTTTTTGTTTAGGCAGGGCCTCTCTCTGTCGCCCTGGCTGGAGTGCAATGGCATGATCTTGGCTCACTGCAACCTCCGCCTCTTGGGTTCAAGCAATTCTCCCACCTCAGCCTCCCAGGTAGCTGGGGTTACAGGTGCGCATAACCACACCCAGCTAATTTTTGTGCTTTTTTTTTCCAGTAGAGACAGGGTTTCACAATGTTGGCCAGGCTGTTGAACTCCTAACCTCAAGTGCCTCGGCCTCCCAGACTGCTGGTATTACAGGTGTGAGCCACCACGCCCAGCCAGCTCTATTGCTTCCTTAGTTCCCACACTTGGGCAAGCCACTTACCCTCTCTAAGGCTCAGTTCCCAGCACTAAAACGATAAGAATGACTACCTTAGAGATTCCTGGTACATATGAAGTGAAATAATTTGGATAAGACTTTATAAGCTTGCATGTGCTTTACAAACAAGAGGTTATATTATTAAATATCTTGAGAGATGGTCATGTATGAATGTCTTCCATGCTTTGAGTTTCCAACACAATAAACAGCTGCTCCTTCATCCTCTCTATTCTTGGAAAATGATAATGAACTGGTATCACTATCGTCCCAATGAGGGAAGAGTCAAAAGTATTTACCCAGTTGCCATTTGGAGTAATGAATGGGAAGGTTGAAGGCTCTGAGGCTCTGTATGAATGTATTTGTGAGGAACCACACCTCTCTTTGGTTTCTCTTCAGGTAGAATGAGGTTTGGGGTTGGAAAGAATCTGGCCTGCCTCACACTTCCAGGCCTCCTCCATTGTTGGATAACATGTCATACAATGATGCTTGAAGTATAGGATGTCTGAATGTATGATATAATTTGGGGTCAAACCTTGAACCTACATTTGAGCCTCATGTCAACCACTTACTAGTTGTACATGTCTTGGGGTAAAATGTTTAATTTCCCTAGCCACAGTTTTTTATTTTATTTTATTTTTTATGAGATGAAGTATTGCTCTGTCACCCAGGCTGGAGTGCAATGGCACGATCTCTGTTCACTACAACCTCTGCCTCCTGGGTTCAAGTGATTCTCATGCCTCCATCTCCTGAGTAGCTGGGATTACAGTTACCACATCTGGCTAAATTTTTGTATTTTTAGAGAGATGGGGTTTCACCCTGTTGGCCAGGCTGGTCTTGAACTTCTGAATTTGTGATCCACCTGCCTCGGCCTCCCAAAGTGCTAGGATTACAGGCATGAGCCACTGTGCCTGGCCTTTTTTTTTTTTCTAAGATGGAGATAATAATTCCATCTTAAAGCATAATAAGTATTAATGAGATTTAAATCACGTATAAAATATGTATATATAAATGCATAACGCATGCAATATGCTGATATGTGAACAGTGTACATATGCATCATACAATGTATATATATGTTAAAATATATATGTATACATATGTTTTATGTGCAAAGTGTGTAAAAACACTCTGTCAACTATTGTCACCCAACTATATGTTCCGGGGGGGCAAGAACTTACTTCACCATGATATTGCCAGATGTTCAATCAATAATTTGTGGAATGAATGGTTGTAATTAAAATCACATTATGACTATAAGAAAATACCGGGGAAAATCTCCAGGACATTGGTCTGACCACAGATTTCTTGAGCAATACCCTACAAGCACAGACTACCAAAGCAAAAATAAGCAAATAGGATCACATCAAGGTAAAAAGCTTTTGCACAGCAAAGGAAACAGTCAACTAAGTGAAGAGACAACCCACAGAATGACAGAAAATATTTACAAACTACCCATCTGACAAAGGATTGGTAGCCAGAATATATCAGGAGCTCAAACAACTCTAGAGGAAAAAAAGTCTAATAATTCATTCAAAAAATGGGCAAAAGATTTGAATAGACATTTTACAAAAGCAGATATACAAATGGCAAGTGGGCATATGAAAAGGTGCTCAAAATCACTGATCATCAGAGAAATGCAAATCAAAACTAAAATGAGATATCAGCTCATCTCAGTTAAAATGGCTTTTAACCAAAAGGCAGGCAATAAGAAATGTTGATGAAGATGTGGAGAAAAGGCAATACTTGTGCACTATTGGTGGGAATGTAAATTAGTACAACCACTATGGAAAACAGTTTGGAGGTTCCTCAAAAAATTAAAAACAGAACTGCTGTTTGATCCAGCAATCTCACTGCTGGGTATATACTGAAAAGAAAGGAAATCAGTAGATAGAAGAGATATCTCCACTCCCATGTTTGTTGCAGCACTGTTCACAACAGATAAGATTTGGAAGCAGCCTAAGTGTCCCTCAACAGATAAGATTTGGAAGCAGCCTAAGTGTCCCTCAACAGATGAATGGGTAAAGAAAGCGTGATACATACGCACAATGGAGTGCTATCCAGCCATAAAAAAGAATGAGATCCGGTGATTTGCAATAACATGGATGGCCCTGAAGATCATTATGTTAAGCAAAATAAGCCAGGCACAGAAAGACAGACATCACATGTTCTCACTTATCGGTGGGATCTAAAAATTAAAACAACTGAACACATGGGCACAGAGAGTAGAAGGATGGTTACCAGAGGCCAGGAAGGGAGGTAGGGCAGTGGGGGAAGGTGAGGATGGTTAATGGGTACCAAAAAATAGAAAAAAGAAGGAATAAATGAGACCTATGATTTGATAGCACAATAGCATGACTATTGCCAACTTAATTGTACGTTTTAAAATAACTAAAAGAGGATAACTGGATTGTTTGTAACACAAAGGATAAATGCTTAGTGGGGACAGACACCCCATTCTCCATGATGTTATTATTATGCATTGCATGCCTGTTTCAAAGCATCTCATGTACCCTATAAATATATATACCTACTATGCACCCACAAAAATTAAAATGTTTAAAATAAATAAAAATTAAAAATTAAATAACATTATGTATTAATGAATAGATAAGACTGAATAAAGAAGACATAGTGAGATAATTAACATAAGAATAGACACAATAAGTGTGACGGTATTTCCTAAAATGATTCTAGAGACCTCTATGTAGCACAGCTTTGGCCAGGATGGAGGAAGGTGGTCCACGTTTGCACAACCAGGCAGTGCAGGAAAGATGTCTTCAGGGAAGAGGAGAATGGTCATTCTACAGGAATTTTTTTAAATTAAGATAAAATGTATATACATTCACAGTCAGCCCATAAGGTCCTCATGAATCTCTACTTTCCATCTGACACATTTCAGGCTGATTCTCCATGGTTTGTTTACTGCTCCCAAACCTGCCCACTGAGTTCAGTTCAAGAATGGCAAGTAGAATCTATCTCAAGTGTCAATTCAGACTGAGTAGCAGTGGATGCCTGAGGCTGGTCTCAGTGGAAAAGCGTCCCACAGCTGTGTCTCCCATGGGCAAAGCAGCCATAAGCGGTGGCATGAACCCTGAATTTGCTTCCATCCCTTGGGCTAATCAGATGTTATCTGAATATGAATGTCAAAAAGAAACTCAGGCAGCAGCCTTGTGTGCAGGCATGGCTAAGTTGTATGAAAATCACTTGCAAAAGATCTATAATGCCAGAATGAAGCTATCCACATCAATGTAGCCCTTAAGAAAATCCTTACTTAAAATGTTTTCAGTTTGGGTTCATGCCAGCTGCCCCTTTAGCAATAAATTGGCCATTCTGATTAAAACAGTGAAGTCTCTATTTCTGGTCTATATTTTGGGAGAATTTGGCAAAGATCTATTTTTTAACCCATGACGTCACCCTGTTATGACTACCACAAAATAGAATTATCATCCAGTTCCCAAGATACCCTGCTGCTTATCTCAAAATACAAAGGGCCT